AAAAAAGGAATTAAAATATACTAAAACTTCAAAAACCAAAAGCTAAAAGCTAAAAGCCAAAATCTAAAACCAAAACCAAAAATTTAAAAACTAGAAAAAAATATTGTTATCTTAATTAGTCGTAATTTATTTAATAAAAACAAAAAAAAAATATGAAAGATATTAAATTAAATATTAAAAATTGTAAATATCATCTAATTTGGAACCATTTTTAATCTAAGTGATAAAAATTAAAACAAGAGAGTGAGATATAGCTGGTTAAATTTGTATTTGTTCATTGTCGTGCATGTTGTATATTGTTTTTGAAGTCATGGCTTTTAGGTCATGTCATCTATTTAAGAGAAATTGTTTGAAATACCATAATTGGATGCAACATTTTAAAAATATAATCAATCAAAAATATTATATCATTTAGGTTTAGGGTTGATTATTTTTTATGGTTTAGTATTTAATAGGTAATGTTGGGTTTATGAACTTCTATAAATATTTTGATAAATTATTTTGAAACATTTATCAAAGATTTAGGAGCTTTAATTCAGTTTTATCACAAACTGACAGTATTTATGAAAACGATTATCTTTTGAAGGGTAAATTTGAAAAGTAATATCAAATTAGTTTTGAAATTGAATTTTCCTCAATATGTAAGTATAAATGATATACAAGTGGAAAGAATACAATAAAGATAGAAAACAAGTTAAAAATTTCAGCTTCATGGCAAATCATTCTGGTCCTCATCTGCCTAATTCATGAAGTTGGATTTGGAGATATCTTATCAATTTGAGGGTTATCGCTAAACCTCTAATTTATTGCCATCTGGGTAATAGTAGGAAAGCTTTCTTCTGGTTTGATAATTGGAAAGGATTTGGTAGCTTGTTGGATCTAATTGTTAAATTGAGAGTTTAATTACTTCTAATGTTAATAATTATCCAAAATTTTAAAAATAATATACAAATTTTAAAAATTTTTGGCCTTAACCTTTATTTTGCAAGTTATGTCAAATTCAAAGTTAACTGGTCTTAACTTTGTAAGAACGTATATTTTATAATGAAAAAAAATCATAAATAACTTAACAAATATTTTGGTAATTTGAAAGAATTTATGTATTTAAAATATTTTTTTCATTTAACTCAGTATTTTTAAATTCAACCTAGACCGCAGTTAAACCGGTGATCCGATAATTTAATTTTGATTTTAAAAATATCCATATTTAAAAATCTCTAAAATCCAAGACTAACCGATTAACTGATATTTAATATTCAAACCTATTAAAATAAGTTTATTTTCATTGTTTTATATTTTATTTAATTTTGTTAGTTTATCTAAATAATTTGAAAGAAATTTGTGAAAGTATTTTGTATTATTTGGACATAATAATAACAATAGTGTTGTTTGGAAACATGGATAGTAGTATAAAGAAATAAGTATATTGTTTGAAAACATAGATAGTAGAATAAAGAAATAAATATATTGTTTGGAAACATGGATAATAATATAAAGAGAATATTAGTGATTTAATGTATGTTTAACTATAAAGTAGAAAGATGTATTTAATTTGAAAACATACAAAATAAAT